TGTGATGAATGACGGATGATGATGTAGCATCTCCATAGAATAAGAACCCTGGAGGTGTATGACTAATCATCATACTGCTCATAGAGAACTATGAAAACTACGAATCGACATCGATGACTACAATCCATACTGAGCTGGAGGTGTCTTTGTCTGTGTTGAAGCACCACCCGCTAAATAAGCAACATATGAAGCCCATGCTGGATCTATAAGCATGAAAATATAATATCCGTTAGGAGGTGTCATAAAACCCATCATTTGAACTGACTGCGGTGGTATCTGAACCGGCTGTGTTGGCATTTAAAATGGTTGTGGTGCAATTTGAAATGGCTGCAGTGCCATCTAAACCGACAGTGTACTCATGTATAGTGGCGGGATGGAAATATAAATCAGTGTAGACGGTGGTTGCTGTAATAGTTTCGATGTTGTAGCTGAGGATGAGCCAGAATTGCATGCTCTCCGTCTACGAGTCGGGGGACGATGATGTTGTGACAGTGGATGCTTTTATTAGTGTAGACGAATTCTCCCACCTTGTGCTTCCTTAGAAAGTAGGAATGACTTACTGTTCGTGTTGAAGCACTAATAATAGTCAGTCGCAACCGAATAATAATCCACATAAATCGACTCTCTAAGGGGAATACGTTCACATCGATCCTCCCAGATGATTATCCACTCGCAGTGCTTCAACATCCAGTTGACATCCTTTTTTCCCCGTCTATCGACTTTATGCATATTGTTGAGATTCATATGTGCTTAAGGAATATATTGTACAAAACCAAATTGGTGGAGCATATTATCAGTAGGATTCCACTCGACAATAACATAACATATCAGAGAGATCATCGTCATCCATACATCTAATGAGCTACTCAAGTGAGGTGGGATGCAAAGTCTCATTTCTTAAGTATAATAAGGAACCTATGAAATTAAAACAATTGTATATATTCTTACGAAAAATAATATTCTAATTATATAACGATAATTAAAGTAAATATAAAATTTAAATACATACATCTGTACCAGCCTTTTGATCAATGAGTAGCCGAATTTCTTCCAATTCGTTTGGTATATCATGATGATTTTTCCTTGTACATGACCACTTATTCAATGTAAAAAATATTTTATTATATACTCAAAAAATTATTTATATATGAACTCAATATTAAATTACCTCAACAATAACGGGAAGGCTAACGGGTTATTCACGACTGGACATAAAAAGGGCATACGATACGACGCCCATGACTGGAGAAGAATGAGACATTTACCGATAGCATTTTTCTGATAATTAGTTGCTCCATACATTTCTCTATACATAAATTTCAAAATTGTAGAGCCCCAACTGAGTGAGCCTTCGACTCAGAAATCTCCGAGGTGACGCAACCACATACAATGAATTTGGTTGTGAGATCTTTCGGGCATCAAGATCCCTCCTATGATTTGTAATATATATGCTCGGACAAACATTTTAGCCTATTTCTCGGAGTAGTTTTTTCACTCAAATGTTGAAAATTTATTTCCAAAATGGTAATGATATTCGACCAACATTGAAATTAAGCGGATACCTCCAAGATACTCTTGGCACAAAGAATGCCAATCACCATCTGCCACACCAGAAACAACATCCACATCTACCGAAACCCCAAATATATAAAATCATCCTCTAACATAATAGTGCACTCCCTAACGAAGATATGTGTGTCTCGCGTCTCCACCTCTCAATCAGTGCAGAAATAAGTTCGTTCAAGTTAAAGTGCACTTCATATTTCGCTATGTAATCAAATCCATTCTCGGCTAAATACGACCAGACATGACACATATTTTTAATTTAGCGTTACGAATAATCTAATTAGTCATTCCCCTAATTAAATAAATAGTATACAAATTAAAATATAATCTAATACTAAAATAAATAAAACATTCACAATAATTAAAATAACACAATTTAAAATTGTTACCGTATCGGTAAAATGACTTAATATATGATTCCCGTCTAAATGCAACAACCCACATTCTATTTTATAACTGTAAAATGTAATAAAAAATTAGTACAATAAAATATAATAAAATAATAAACTATTGAATGATTATAATATGATAAAAAAATTACCTTCTAAAAACTATAATGAAACCTACTTAAAGTTTGATAGAAAATTGATAGAATAAGTAAGAGATATTTTTGGTGTGGTTTGGGTATTGTATGAGGGGGTATTTATAGGGGAGGATGGGCGTTGGGCGAAATTAATGGTAGGTGGTATTTAAGTGGAAGACACGACACGTGCAATGTGCATTCCTTAGCTGCCAGAACTCTCAGTGAATCCACGTCTCCGGGTACACGTCTTCCCACTGTGGCGCCACCTTGGATAAAAACCCATGGAAGGTGCGGTTCCTGTAACGTGTCTTCCCTCCATGTATGAAAGGCGCGCTCCCTGCCACGTGCCTTATTATCACTCTTTCAGAAAGGGTACTAGATCGATAATATTTGGATAAAAGGTACCTGAAAAGTAATATTATATAATTTGGGTGATTTTTTGGGTAAAACCGCCTAAATATACTTTTTAAAAATAATAATTTTGATTAATTTTGGGTAAGTACAATGCAATATATTTTAAGATAACTCTTAATTATTTGATATTAAACGCTCACACCCTTGCATTCATGATGCTCGAACTCGGGACCTGAATGAATAATAACAATTTTTTTATCATTGAGATCGCTCGGTTTGTGCTAGAATATTAATTAAATGATTAAAATAAAAATTAAATAATTAATTTATATTAAAATTAGCAAACATGTTATTACTATTAACTATCACATCTTATAATAATGGCTAATAAACATTATTGTTCAAAAATTTTAATTAATAAAAATCATTCAAATAGAATATCCAATGGAATAAAAAAGAATAAAGATATAATTGATTTTTGGGTAAAGTACACAAATAGTCATCGACTGTAAGATACTATTTTATTGAGTTTCTTAATTATCAAAAGTTATAAAATAATCTTCTAACTATAGAAAGTTACTTTGTGGAATCCTTCAACTATTTAAAGTTACAAAATAGTCACTCAATGATTTATTATGTTCTAAGCTCGTCCATTTTCATTAAAAAAATTAACAATCATCTAAGCTGGACGTTAACATGTTGACTGAAATATAATTGTCTTTTGAGATTATAAGATCAGATTTTATCATATTTTAGTCGACATATTTACATACAACTTAGACTACTATCAAATTTTTAACGAAAAAGAGTTTAAATACAATGAATAGTTGAGTGATCATTTTATAATTTTGAATTATTAAGAAACTCAACAAGGTCACTCCTTATAATCATATAATCATTTTATAGATTTTAATAGCCGAGTGACTTAATAAAATAACATGCTATTTTACCTTCGATTTTTTAAGTATTCGGAGGGCTCTTTAACTCTTTAGCCAAAATCTTTCAATTTTAATCCATTCGTGGGTCGTGAAGATCGTTAACATTGTTCGTTCACTTGCAAGTACTTACAGCGTCAGCCATGTCGCCACTTGTGCTCCGCCTTATCTCTAGCGCCTCCGCGTCCACCGACGCGGGTCTCCCGCCAATCTCTCCAATTTCAAATCATAATCTCCCCGTCAATTCCAATCAAGAGATTCGACAGAAACTGCAATGTCATCTTCAAAATCAACTCCAATTATTTCTTAGAGACGTTGCTTTTCTCTCCTTAATCTCTCTCTTTCCTTCCTTCTTCCAACCATCTGAATTTTCTGCTTTCTCCATTGGAATTTGAGTAATTCTCATTCTATTTTGTTTATTCTTCTTTTATTAACAGCTACTGAGTGTGTGTTGCTATTCGCAGCAGGACCAAAGGATTGGCTTAAAGAGCAAAAGAAGTCTTTGAAGTTTCTATTGGCTCCAATCGATGCTTCTCGAAAAGCCTTAGCTCTGTTATATTTCTTGGTACATTACATTTATATTTATCTTCTATTTTCTCCTGTAATCATGTGAAGCTGTTTGTTGTGTTCCTTTGATTAATTTTGGTTATTTTGAACTTTTTTTAATAGTAGACAATGAATCAGCAAATTCGAGTAAGGATTTAGGAAGTTCAAAAGCTCTTGAAATATGCTGCTAGGGATTGTGTTGTACAAGAAAGGAATTCCTTCGTGGCTTCATCGCATTTCAAGCCAACACCGGAGTCGAGGTTTGTTCTTGTCCTTGGAATGAAATCGAAATTTCTTACACAACCATTGATTCTGAATGAGTACTTTTTAGGCTTTTTGTTACATCAAAGTTAATATATAGATACTATCGTCTTTCTATTTTTATTCACTAAATTTAAAGTTGAAACAAAATCAAAGAGATGGAAATGAACTCCAGTTTTTTGGTTTTAACCTACAGGTTTGCACATTCCATTTGATTGTGAAGAATGCTTCTTCTTTGCTCGACAAGAAGAATCCTGTTAAGCTGGAAGCCGATGCTATGCTAGGTGATCGTTTAAGGTATCAGAGTTATGGTCCTATTAAGTTTGAAATCTGAAAAAAATATGAGTAATTTTAATTTCAATTATGGCTGTAATATTGAAGGAAAGGGCGACAAAGTTTCTTTATCTGCATACATTGCAGCATGTTTTGCTTTTAGGGTGTTCGTTGGTAGAATTCGATGTTAAGATTATTTTATAGCACTTGTGTCGTTTTCCTCTGTCTCCCAAGATCCCACTGCCTGTCGGATCAGAATTATTCCTTCTGTATATTTTTGTCAAGCGCTAATTCGTTTTACCCCCATAATTCATAATATATTTGTCTGCATAGTTTTTCTTTTGTGTGCTTATTGTCATTTCTCTAGCAGTTTGCTGAGCTTAGTATTTTGGAAAAAAATTTATTTCTCTGTATGCATTGTAGCCTGTTTTTCTTTTCGGGTGTTTGTCAAATGACATTGATGTCCAGATAATTTTAAAGCATTTTTGGTCATTTACTTGAGTCTTCCTAAGATCAATGCAAGTTGAATGCTTATGTTAGTCTTCTTTTGGGTGTTTGTTGGAAGAACATTGATATCCAGATAATTTCAAAGCATTTGTGGTCATTTTCCTTAGGTTACCTTGAGATTCAATGCCTGTTTGAATTCAGAAAATCCCTTCATGTATTTTTCTGTCTAGGCTAATTCGTTTTACTACCTTCATATTCATAATCTATTAGCTAACCTGCATGGTTCTTATGCTTATTGTTATTTTCTCCGGCAGCTTGTTGACCTTAATATTTTGACAAAGGAATTTCTTTCTCTGCAGGCATTGTAGCCTGTTTTGCTTTTGGGTGTTTTGTTGGAAGAACATTGATATCTAGATACTTTAAAAGCATTATTGGTCATTTTACTCGAGTCTTCCTAAAATCCAATTCTAGTTGGATGCTTATTGTTAGTCTTCTTTTTCATTGTTTGATGGAAGACATTGATATCCGGATAATTTCGAAGCTCCTTTTTGGTCATTTTCCTTGGGTCACCCTGAGATCCAATGCCTGTCGAATTCAAAATAATCCTTCATGTGTTTTCCTGTCGTGTTATTCGATTTTACTGCTGTTGTAATTTTTTTACATGCTTACTTTGTTAATGTTTATTACTAATTTCTTTCTTGGCAGCTCATTTACCTCACTTAATAGTTTGGCAAACGAAAGTGATATCCAAGTTGCTTCCAATAGGTATGGTTTTACGCTTTCATGTTGTGTATTGTTTGTTTTATCATTACCATATAATGTTGTTGTTGACTACTTGCATTTGCAAGTAATAAGTTCATTATTTCCTTCTTTCCACGGACAAAGGGTTGCAGATGCACTTAAGAATACCTGAACTTCTCTCAACAAATTTGAGCAGGGGGTAAGGACTGCCTCGAAGCATGACGGTGGCAGCTCCCCTCAGTAACCGTAGTTTATGGCGTTGTGGTATGCCTGGAGATTTCGCATAAGTTTTCGTACTTCGGAACGGTGGAGAATGGAAAACTGTAAAAAGTGCATATGTTATGTGAGTTGATATATGTTATAATTTTGTTCAATTTTCTCATGTGTTTGCTTAGTTGTTCCAGCATTGCGACCGTTTCTTCGCTAGAATCTAACGATGGAGCAAATTCTCCAAATTCATGTCGTTTACAATGGCCTTAGAACTAGAAAATGTTTAGTCCATTTTTTTAAGAGAATTGCATGAAGATGGCGAGTAGGATGCAGGTGAGCATAAAAGTGATAAAAAAAATGCTTAGGGTTTTCAAAAAGGATAAAGTACATAAACGGTCACTAAAATATGTTGAAATGATTATTTTGATCACTGAAATTATAAAAGTATAAAATAATTATTATACTTATTAAATAGATTATTTTACCATAATTTAATGACTATTTATATATTTTATTTATTAAAAAATTATCGGTGGTAAAAATGCTATTAATGATTTTTTTAGCATGATTTAGAATTTAGAGGATAATATTTTTATTTGATTTCATATCAAACTGTCCTAACTTAAATTACAACACATATGTCATCCTGATCTTCTAGACCTCTACCATAGAATTACTCATTGGATTCAACTCAGCTTGCGTAATATTATTAATGAGATTTAACGATTAAACTGTGATGTGATATCATCATAATTTTTCAAACATCAATGATGAAAATAAAATTTAAAATATGAGTGATCACTTATAAATTTTACCCAAAACAATATTTGCTTTTCAAAATAACTCTGATTTAAAGCGAACGATCTCTCTCCATGTAGGTGCCCAAGCTTACCATATCGCCGCCTTCTTCCCTATTTTACCACCAACGACAACGCCTCCAGACTCCCACTTCTGCTAAAACCCGCTAAAAGACCTGAAGGTGAACAAGGAAATAATAAACTCGAAAGATGGCACCGTCCTCACTCTCGACACGCCTAACCCTTCTGGCTCCCTCTCCGCCTCCACCTTTACTTCCTTTACAAATCCCGCCGTCGTCTAAAACCCCTCAACAACTCCCTTTAAACTCTAACCCTAGAAAAGGTAAGCTTTTCTTCATTACCCAAACAGGAACATCCAAAGCCCTAGCCCAACGCTTGCTTAAAGTCTTATCCTCCAACAACATCCCTTTCGAGCTCATCGATCCCCAAAATTACGAACCGAGGATCTCCCTAAGGAATCCCTAATCATTATCATCGCTTCCACCTGGAAGATGGAAATCCTCCTCAGAACTCGAAATTCTTCGTCAATTGGCTCGCCGAAATCAGCACTGATTTTCGCGCCGGGAGTTTGTTACTCTCCGATTGTAAATTTTCTGTCTTTGGAGTCGGTAGTCGGGCTTTTGGAGACACGTTCAATGCGGTGGCAAGGGATTTAGGAAAGAGGTTTAGAGGTTGGGAGCGACGGAGATGGTGCCAGTTGGGGAAGGTGACGTAGATGGAGGTGCATTGGAGAGCATCTTTGACGAGTGGAGTCAAAGGTGGTTACTGTTTAAAGGGGGATTGGTGGTGGAGAATCACAATGACATTGTTTATGAGAGTGATGTTGATAGCCTTCAAAGTGATGATATGATGATGGTGGAGAGGGGAAGACATCGTTGATCTTGAAGATATAGCAGGTAAAGGGCCATCGAGAAAGAAATCGGTTAATGTGGTTGAAACTAATGGGAAATTGGATGGGAAAAGAGAGATGGTGACGCCAGTTATCAGGGCCAACTTAGAGAAACAGGTAACTTTGTTTTAGTGGATATGAATCTTTTGTTGAAAGGCTTTTCATTATGGTAATTGCTTAATCTTAGTCTTCCATTGCAGTTTATGGTCTAAATGACATTGTTTAACTGGTGGGAATTTACAGGGATATAAGATTATTGGTTCACACAGTGGTGTGAAAATCTGTAGATGGACCAAGTCTCAAACTTAGAGGACGAGGAGGTTGCTACAAACACTCATTTTATGGAATAGAGAGTCATAGGGTGATTGGAACTTTTCTTATGCACCTATTGCACCTTTGAGAATATGTAGTTGATTCTATTTTCAGTGTTGTGACTCATATGGTTTTACCGCCCTTTATTTTGCGTATTTATTCCAGCTTTTATATTTAGTTACTCTTTTCATCACTTAAATCTCTTGCCAATTGTTTTGTGATCCTTGACTAAGCTACGAGAAAACCAATGTCATGTTTGTACTTGCAGAAATATCATCTTCCTTTTGCACCCTCAACTAATTAAGAGGTGGAAACAAGGAGATATACAATCATCTTAGTCTATAATTGGCTGTTAGTTGATCTCATGCACTTCTGTCTACACTGAGTTTGATCATTTTATGTAGTTCGTAGCAGTGAAACTTCATTATATAATTTACTTAGTACATTGTTCTATGTTTTTTGTTCCTTCTTTGCTTTTTGACTGCAGCCATTGATATGGGATTGAAATTTGTTTCACTTCTGAATTTGACAGATGCATGGAAGCTACACCTAGTTTGGCATGTGCCAATAAATGTGTTTTTCTGCTGGAGGCATCATACGAATCCAGTAGGAAAGAGTTGGCAGTGGAAGATGGATGATCCCTTAGAGATTGTCAATGCTGCCATAGACCTTCATACAAAGATGATTAAGCAAATGAAAGGAGTTCCTGGTAATTGTCATATACTTTTTCCCATTATATTTTCCCTTCACTGCGGGTTTCCTGTGGTTAAACGTTTTCTTCTACTATGTTCTGCCACAGCCAATTTAGTCAATGCACCTCCTTTATGTCTTAATCATTCATTAACAAGTAATGTTGGCATATATAGATGTTCTGAATTATTTGTAGTACAAATTAGATTCTTAGACACACGGTTGCAACAAAGATCTTTCATTGCATTAACAGGAGCTTTTTACTCACTCTACTGTTTCAGGGGTTACACAAGAGAAATTGATGGAAGGTTTATCCCCTCAGCACTGTGCCTTATCACTTGTTGGTGAACCGATTATGTATCCAGAAATTAATGTGCTTGTGGATGAGCTGCATCGAAGGCGAATCTCTACATTTCTAGTTACCAATGCACAGTTCCCCGAAAAAATTAAATCGATGAGGCCCATAACCCAGGTCTTTTGGTGTGGATTTATCTTAAGTATGGATGCCAAAAAATTCTTCTGTTCTTGATTAACCTAGCCGATGTCTTTTATTCATGCAGTTATATGTGAGTGTGGATGCTGCAACAAGGATAGCTTGAAAGCAATTGATAGACCACTCTTTGGGGACTTCTGGGAAAGATTCCTTGTGAGTATTTTATTCTTGAAAAATAAATATTGAGCTAAAACATTAAGAAAGAAATAAAATTTAAATTTCTTTAGACAAATAGAAATGATTGTCAGAGAAGACAGATAAAGCAGAAAAATGACAGGCATCAAAATTCTTGAATCTAGAGACTAGTAGGGTACATGGGGAGTATTGAACTAATCTTGATCTAAGCCATATAGCTTCCCTTACTGTGTTATGAATAACATATTGGTAGATTTGATGTGGTTTATGAGAAAATCAGCAGTAAAACAGCGGAGTTATGGCTGTAAAATGAATAAGATGGATGGAACCCAAGAAATATAAGATTATAAAACCTCTAGTTTCTTTCTAATAATTAAAGAAGTAATAAAGTTGTGGCTGTAAATGTTTTACAGCATATTTATACTAGGGTTACTAATAAAGTTATATGTTGACCGTCCATAATGTCTTATTATTTAAAAATATTACTGAAGTAAAAAATAATATAAAATAACTAAGGCTCCTGCTTCAAGATTCCTTAAATCCCAATTTAAAGAGCTTTCTGTTTGCATTATTTCTACTGAAGCAATATTAGAAATCCCAAACTTGTTAGTGGCTCTTTACTTTTTGTAAGAATGAACTGCTTCATCTTTGTGGCAGCTTGTACTATGTAGCACTTTACATGATTCCTGGTACTTTCGAGGGCTTTTCTTTTGGTGGCTTGCAGTACCCATTTTCTTATTATTTATTTGTGACATCTGTTATTTAGGATTCCTTGAAAGCTCTCGATGAAACTCCAACGAACTGTATACCGCTTGACACTTGTGAAAGGATGGAATGCAGAAGATGTAGATGCTTATTTTAAACTCTTTAGCATTGGGAAGCCTGATTTTGTTGAAATCAAGGCGTGACATATTGTGGATCGTAAGTCTATTGGTTGCACTGTTATTTGTAGTATTACTTTTATCTGCCACACCACCTGGCCTTGGTTAGCTATGTTGATATTTCTCACAGTTCTGCCACATCAAAGTTGACGATGGAGAATGTGCCATGGCATTCTGATGTGAGGGATTTCTCGGAGGCATTGGCTCTGAAAAGTGAAGGGGAGTACGAGGTTGCATGTGAACATGCACATTCATGCTGTGTGCTCTTGGCGAAAACAGAAGTTCAAGGTCAATGGCCAGTGGCATACTGGATAGACTACGAAAAGTTTCATGACCTGGTTAGTGACGAGCATCGGTTTCATTATTGGAAGAGTCTAAACATTTTTGTATGAAACCTTTTGTTTATTATTGCCAATGTTGCAGGTGGCTTCAGGAAGACCTTTCAACAGTGAGGATTATATGGCTCCCACTCCATCATGGGCTGTCTATGGAGCTGAGGAAGGTGGATTCGATCCTGACCAGTCTCGGTACAGAAAGGAGCGACATCACAAGCCAAAGCGTGAGCACGTCAGGGATTTGCACTGGTATGA